TTTGGCACAACTAAGGGTCTCATTTGCACGGTATAGGCGGCGCTGCTGCTTGGCTGTTAACTTCTTTGGGCGGCCTTTTTGAAGTGACTTCCGTATGCGCTTGGATCACGAAGAATGGCCGCAACCGTCACGTGGTTGCGGCCCAGACGACGACCAATTTCACGAACACTTAGGTTCTCCGCAGCCCATGCCAGCACCTGGCCTTGCTCGACAGCCGTCATTTCGGCTCCATGACCCATGAGGCAACGCAGAATTGTAGTGTGAGAGTGTATTACGACTTTACACGTGTGCGAAGTCAACTGAAGTCACAACTGACTTGTCAACGTGGCACAAAATGGCTTTCGCGCCAAAGGAACAGAGTGGTTATAACCTTTTGCATCGGTGTTAAAACATATTTTTTCATAACTCCCTCTTTTTTCTCGTTTTGACACGATTCAATGCTAGAATTGTGTATTTAATACTACCTCTGACTGGTAATAAGAGCAGGCGAACAATCAATACCATGCATGAATTTAAAACTTCGGCGTTGTGTGGACGGGTATTGTCTTGCTGTAAGTATATCCTTCCGTCCGTGTCGTCGTTGGCCCACACCCATTATTGCTTGATCGTGGGCAGGACACGCTCAACGAGGTAGTTGCGGCACACTGGCTTCGTGACTGTCACAGTTGAATGGATAGGGATTCCATCGGGTCGGTCGGTTCACACTTCGGCGTTGTACAAGGGTCGTGTCGACAAGCGGTCAGTATCCTACCTTTCCGTCCCCGGCACCGCGCGACGAGTTAAGGCGACCAAGAACATCACCGTGGTGATGTGGTCCTTGGACTGCAGGGAGCGTGATGGAGCGCATTCATCATGCCACGTGTAAAAGCAGCGACGGACTTTGACCACTTCTCATCAATGTGAACGACATTACACATGTCGTTGTATTCACGTTTACCAAGGTCCGAGAGATGCCTCACGCAGAACGCTCTTCGCTCATTCTTGTGCTCCTCGGTAAGGCGTGGCTTCGTTCGACCAAGTCGTTCGCACTGTGATCCACTTTTGTCGAATGAAGTTCCATATTGACTATATGGACAGACCTGTGGCTTGGGCCAGCGACCGCTGGGTTTGGCGGCGGTAGAATGGGGTGCGTTTGATTTGCTCTTCGACCTCTTCATGTGTCTAGCGCTTCTTGCGTCCTGACTAGTGCTTCCGGGAAGAGACGTTGGCCGGAGTGTCGTTGGACTTGCTGTCGTTCCCGCGCTTACAGATTCGCCAGCCCGTAGATGAGTGAACACCAAATTTATTCGCACATGCTCCATTTGACTTCGCGATAGAGCTTACTCTAAGAAGATCTTGGTAGAGTGCCAGACGTTGGTCATTGGTCAGGTTTATCTTGGAATTTGTATGGCGACTTGCTGCGGCGAATAAGCTCCACTAATTTTTAGCCCAATCCGATTGCTTTGTCACCATTTTTTGTCACTGCCTGCACTTATTACCAGTCAGAGGTAGTAATTACAAATCCAGGCATGCCTTCGGTTAAATATAACTGTAAATCGCAGTCAGTGACAGGAAGTTCTAAAAAACGTGGTAGTTATAACTTTTTGCATCGCACTGTATTGGCTAAAAGCCCGAGGCGGATCTTAGAATAAAGCCCTATTTGTCGTCGCGTCAAACTGGACAATTTTTGTGACCAAGTGAATATATAAGGTCCTATAGTGTAATGGTTAGCACCTAAGACTCTGAATCTTGTATTCCGGGTTCGAGTCCCGGTAGGACCTTCCTTTTTTATCTTGGGAGACGTGGATCGATCCGCAAGTGGCCGACGTCAATTTTGCTCAAAGAGATGCCCAACAAGGAAGACGTGAGGTGCAGTGTCCATGGGATTTTTGAATGCGTGCTTCACGCGGCAACTAGGAAATCCTGCAGTTGCGTTGATGATGGCGGGCAATGTCGCTTGTTGTTGCGACCTCCATATGCGATGGGACAACTGAATTTCTCGGCGTTTGCCGCTAGTCCTTCATTGTGGTGGTAGCACCTGGTGTACGTAATACATGTAGTGGAACACGTCACAGCATTAGTAGTTTGTTCGAAGCTTGTCACAACTCGATGTTGCATACACCATGGGCTCCACGGCGTGCTGCACACACCACGTAGTTTGTACAGCGCCGTCGGGAATGTATTCGCACGTAGCAGCACCGCCCGCGCCACCCGCGAAAAAGCGCACCCTCCAAACCTGCGCGGTAGAACAACCTCCACCTTGCTACTCGGTAATATGGGTGGCGTTCATGTACAGATTTGTCCTTGTCTCTACAGGCCGCCCGGAGAGCGATTCCTTCGTGCTGGCGATGGTTCAACCCACACCATGTTTCGAGCTATGTTTTGGGCCACGGGTTTGCTGGGTGAGCGGTGGCTGGTAACCGAACTGTATCCGGATATGGTCGGAACCTTTGTCGGTACTTTGTGTGTGAATTTCCATTTATCCGGATTTTACCGGACCTGTTCAACTTCGACCCAGCGAGGAGCCTGAACGAGCGCATGAAACTCTAACGACCACATCGCTTAGCCAGGTGGTGGTGACCTAGGTGTGGCGGCGGCGCTGGGACCCCGACCAGTTCGATGGGGTGGTGGCGGCGCGCCGCGCGTGAGGTCCATGAACAGAAGCAGTTTGGATCCACGCAACGCCTGTCCCCCTCTTCGTCATTGTCTGTTGTCGAACTGGACACGCCGACGAGATCGTACGGCGGTGGTGCACCCTCTGCCGGTCAAAGCACCATGCACCGTGATGTACGTCGCCCTCCGATGGGCCTTACATCCATTAACAAATCGAACGGTGGGGTCCTCGACGCTAGGTGGTACGTGCACCACGTGGCTCTGGTGCGTCCAGAACGAGGAACCCCACCGACGTGATGCTCCGCTTGTATCCTGACATTTGGGAAAACTTTCAAAGCTGCGACCACGGCACGGCGCTTCATCGCGCCGAACGCTGATCGATACCCCACCATCCAGTGAGCGCACACCAATATATGCAATGACGAGGCAGGCCGTCGCTCGTTTCGAACTCACGCGGGAGCAACTCGTTGAGTTCACTGCGCGCACCAAGACACTCCTTCGCGACACTCTTCACCTCCTGTCGCTCGACCAGAGGCTCCAGCATGGAACCAAGGTGATGGAACGGATGGGACTCCAGGTGTACACGGACGGCGACAGCACCACGATCACAGGCCACTTGGCGACAACCATCGTCGATCTCGAGTACGCCATGTACGCCACGACGACCCAGCACGTCCAAACTGTTGCCGCCATCATGCACAACGAGTTGTACAACGACGCGGACGTCCTCGACGTGCAGCAATCGCAAACGCTTGAAGACACGTTTCACTTTGTCGGGGTCAAGTCCGTCGCGCTGGCCCGCAAAGGCATGTTTGCCAAGCCCCATCACATTGTTTACCTCGAAGTACGTGTGCATGTCACGGTGCGGTTGGTGGCTGACGTGGTGGCGCTGCTGTGTAGTCGACTGGCACGATCCACGACGACGGTACCGCACGGCTGTACCAACACATCGAATACGTCGACATGGCGCACTACTACTACACGGCCAAGAACTCATGGAGCAAAGCAATTCGACCGATCTGCTCGACTGTGTCGCTGTTTGAAGCCGATCCATGCGATGCCACGTCCGTGCGGGTGTATTCCCGCGCCCACTACTCACACGACACACCAAGCTCCCTGTACCAGATGCACCAACCGCAAGTGTACTGGCAGTGGGTTCTGTCGCTGGCATCGCTGGCCGTGTCAAGACGGCTCATGGATGCGACGTCGCTCGTGCAATATTGGGTTCCCAACGGGTAGGTCCAGCTCGGACGGCGCGTCGTCATGTTGCACGTGTGTAGTGAATGCAAAAGCTGCTCAGTGTGCAACTCGGCGTTCAAAGCGCTTCGACCAAAGCACCACTGCCGCAGTTGTGGCGAGGTAAGGCATGAAGAATGGAACGCCGCCAGGTCCTTATCTCCCTGCTGTAGATGATGTGCCACGGCTGCTCGATCCACATTCGGTCCCCGACGGTAGTGCACAAGTTCTGCACCAAGTGCGTGCTCAAATCCCGGGAGCTCCGGGGTGGCGACCGCGTCGAGCAACCCCCAAAGACGTCGTTGTGGCGCCCCATGTCGTCGGTGGCGAGCAGCAGCAGTAGTACCGAGAGCTTCATCCGGTCGATGCAAGAAACCACCAAACACGTGACAACTCCATCTCCTCACGTCGTCGCGACACCCTCCGCCGTCGACGCCAAGCAGGTGAACGCCCTTGAACAAATCTCCGATTCGATCGCCCATCAAGAATCGATCCTTGTGTGCATGCGCGAAGTGCTGGAGAAACAAAAGCGCCATTCCGATGTCACCAATTCGATGACGTCCACGACCGGAACTGCCGACTCGTACATGACAGACGAGTGCCTGGAAACGCTGCCTAGTACCTCGACCGGCTCGCCCAACACACATCAGTTCGAATACATTGATTCTTCCTAAGATTGGAACCCGTGCGTCGGTTGTTCTCGTGCAGCGGCCATCCGCCAAGTTACATAAAGAACAGACCGCCCGCGGCAGTTCTTCCGATGGCTCCTTCGTCGATTATTACATGCTCGGCATAGACATGTTGCCCATCATGGATGCATGCGTGGGATCGCGGAGGACACTGCGCGGCCTCTTCATGTCGGGCTTCGAATTCCTGGGGAGTCTCCTGACTGTGAGCTCGTGTCTGGTTTCACCGTTCAATGGTACGTCAATTTAGTTTATCAATGGTACGTTTCCGTCATTTTAGTTCATCTGAATGTCCTGTACCCATTCTTCAATCAAGTTTAGCAAATTCACTTCAATTGTGTAATGTACTCATACAAAATGTTATAGACTCCCCACGAAGCGAAATCCCATGGAGAGGTGAAAGGTATGCAGGGGCAAACCGCCATGATTATACACGGGAGTGAGAAGAGCCGCTGGTGCCTAGTTCTAGCGCCCACCGCCACCGGTAAGTTGATCTGAGTGAGCCAGAGTCCCAGTTGCTCAACAACGCTCCTTGACCAATGCCATCCTCGTGTGCCTCATCTTTCTTGGTGTCGATGTTTGCAGAATGAACGATGCGCGAGTTCCACGGGGCAGATCGGAGCTTGAGTGCATGCGTGGTGACACCTCTAACTGGGACCAGGCATGGTCGCACAGCCTCCGTCACCCGCAAGCGGCGACTCCCCTTAAGTTGCCGTATGAGACTGTGTTCACGATGGGATGCTACACCTACCACGCCATCGCACACACCACAGTTTGCCTTAGGCGCACACTAGATGGACTCCTTACGCTCTGTCGATGCTGTCCCATGGCATCGTTGATTGCCCCTTCCAAGCATCCCCAACTTGTTGGCGGTACTGCGCAGTTGCCAACAGCTACCGCGGTAGATCCATTCAGGCAAGCACATGTGCAAGATCGATTCAGTCCACCATTAAATATGAGAGGATTTCGCCGCTCGTTCAAGCGATTCCCCAATCGTTCGAGTCTGGCTGGACTTGGTCAAACACGCGATGAGTCATCTCTACGCCCAAAAACAGGCACCCGTTTGCTGGAAACGACCGCAGGACGGCGGCACTCCATCCACGGTAGAAGCCTCGCACGCCCTGCGTCTGCCACACCGTCAGGAACGCCCGCCGAAATGTCACCTGGTTGCCGACCTGCATATACGACTTGACCACGTCCGCGGGGAAAATGAGGCTCCACCCCGTGGCGCCGGCCATGCCACCACACGCCAGCACGGCCAGGGGATGCAAGGTACGCCTGGATGTCGATGGCGATGTCAAGTCGTCATCTCTCCACAAACTGGCTAACGTCGACGTGTACAGCTCGTACGCGCCGAAAAACACAAAGTTGAACGGGACATCGCGCAGGAGAACCGCGGGGAGCCCGGCACCAAACCCCTTGACGCCGTTTTCAGCGACGACTTGGCGGATGCACGCAAGCACACCCAAGGACGGCGTATGCGACGTCTGCAATCGACACTTGATCACTTCGGCCGGCGTAATGGCGGTTGCCGAGAACACAGCGGCGGCACTTCCCAGCAATGCTTCATCCAGCAATGTCGTAGAACAGTTCTGGCCAAAGTACAGTCGACGCAACGCGCCGTGGGCGGTGAACAGGACCGAGTTCTCAATGATTGCACTCGACAGGGCTGGGGTCGCTCCTTTCCACATCGACCTCATGCCTTCCTCCCGTACCGTTCGGACGATGCAGTGGACAAGGCCCCGGTACTCGGACGTCGTCTGGAGGCGCACCTTGGCCACATCGAAGGGCAGGCCCGAGTACACATTGCAGATCGCGCCGACGGCGCCGCTCGATGTTTCCTTCAGATCGAGCATCGCTGGCTTTCCGTGGTACAGCCAAACGAAGCGTGGCGGAATAAGAATCCACCAATCAAAACGACTTAATCATGAATTAAAGGTTGTGATTGGTCAACGTGTTTCCACAGGGAGTGGTCTCCACTCCTCCAAGGGGTTTCGGGGTTTAGTGCAGGTTGGGCGAGATCATCGGGGAGCGAGCTCGAGAATGCACCCCCTCGCTGCTTGGCAAGCGAGTACAGCAAGATTTAAACAGCATCGCGAAGGTGAGACGGGTGCCAATGCACCGGGAAGATGCATGTAGGGGGAGAGGAGTGGCGGACACCCTGAAAATGAGACACATTGGACTCGCTCTAGTCCAGACCGACGTGTGGGGGGTGAACATAGCCGGACATCGCAACGTTTACTGCATATTATACCTCGCACCGTGCAATTTTAACGTGCGCACTCGCCACTTGTCGTGTGTGCGAGCCTTGCTTGCCTTCCTCGGCATCGGGCAAGCGGTATCATTCGGATAATAACCGGATGCACCTTTTCATTGTCAGCGTCGGATTGGCTAAAATTGTGTTCACTCGTACGATTGGATTGGCCATCTATCGTCCATGCGATATGGGTGGATTTCAACATGGCCCAAAGTCGCGTGCGCGGCGCGCTGCAGCGGTGAGGCTGCGTGAATGCGCGAGATGGAGAACTTCACTGGACATGGTAGACTTCCGTATGTGAAGACGGCCCCGGAGATTCTCGAGATGCGCTTCTGGCGGCATTCAATCAAAGAGAAGGCGATTGTGGACCCCATTCGAAGGGCCAAGAACAAAACCGACCGTTTGATCAACTATCAATTGCTCAAGCTTGCGTCCATTACGTCGCATGTTGCGAACGAATTCCCTGCTCTCCGAAGCTTGCACCCTTTTGAACATGTACGCTGCTTGTGGCGCGTGTCACCGCGTCCGTGTGTGACGTGAGTTTGTCCAGGAAGTTGTTGTCTTGACGTTGGGCCCTGGCGCGTACGAGAAGCAGCTCCAGCACCTGCGCAAAGTGTACGCCGCCCTGCACAAGTGTGGCAAAGCGTATGAGATGGAAAACAAGCAAGTGCGCACGCAAATTGAATCGGCCGACGTCATGGCCCGATGTCTCGAAGTCCGTGGCACTCTGTCGTCCTTTGCTGGCGTTGGTGATTGTCGCTCCTTCGTAGGGACTAAGAGGCATCGTGCAAGACCAGGCCCCTGTTCTCCGTGACACGGCTGAAATGGCCAAGGTACACGCTTTCGACCAACGCCATAAACATGTCAGCGACGTAGACGCTTCGAAAACTGCCCGAAATCGACTTGAACAAGCCTCTGTTTGCCCTCGTCGGCGCTCCCAACGTCGGTAGGACACGCATTTGTGGCACCTTTACTCCTTGCGGCTCGTCATCCTCGTCCAGGGAAATCGTCGTTGGTAAAAGCACTGACCACTGCCAACCCTGAAGTACGTGCCCAACCTCATGCGTGTACTTATGGGCATGAGCTGCACTTATGGAACGAGTCGGCCCTCTTATCTGTGGCTCCCGTTGGTCCTGTCTTCTGGTGGATGTTGATCGGGATGGCTGCATGCGTTGTCTAGATCGCCAACTACCCGTTCACAACCCGCGGCGTGACGATCGGGCACATTTTCATGCATGGCAATTCGTACCAGGTGCGAACGAGTTCCTCGAGCCTCGCGACAGGGCCAACCCTTTCGATAAAAGGTGGCGGACACCCCAGGACTGCTGTTTCGACCAGACAGTCAGCGCAATGCCATAGAGAAGCTGGCGCTGAGCATCTTGACCAAAACCAAAGCGGTATGCAATGGATGTGGTGGATGATTTAACGAGTCTGTTGCACGACTGACGCAGACGGTGGGGTTTGTTGTCGACCCAACGGGAACGTCGGGAACGCCGCTGTCGGTTCAGTTGGCCCTGCGCGACGAACTGCGCGCCAAGCTGCCGGAGAAAGCTGCCAACTCCTGGATCGACCTTGTCTCCAAGATCGATGTGCCGTATGACAAGTCGACCCTCTCTCGATCGTACGAAACAACATGCGATTCCTTTGTTGATGTCGTCGGATTTGATTGTCGGTGAAGGGATCAAGCGGCGCTGAACACGATGCTGCACGTGTCTACCGCCACCAACGAAGGGCTAGCCGCCGTCGACACGAGCGTTCGCGCGATGCTCAAGTCCGCGCTCGCTTCCGACACTGACGGAAGCGACATTGAATAAACGATGCCGTGTGACTCGATCGCGTGTTGCATTCTCGGCCACTCGTTTTGCAGTTGGCACGTTCCGTCCATGCAATGGGTCGATGAAGTGCCCCACAGCCGCTGTCGCAGTTGCATGCACCCCACGGGAATGGCATTGCGTCCACTGCGCCAACGTTGCATCGTGGCCATGGAACTGCATGACGCTGCTGCTTGGCGCACAAGCATGGGTGTACCAGGGCTGAAAAGCCATGTCGACCACTTCGATGGCCCACGGAGGCACTGTGTTGTATATATATCAGGGAACGGGGTTTCCTCGACTGCTAGCCTAAGCGCTTCAATACAAAGAAGGCTCAGCTCTCGTTGGCAACGCGCTCAATTGTCCAGCGCTGGTGGAAGCGTCGTCAACATGTCCCGCAGCAAGTTGGTCCCATATTATCGTGGAAAAAACGAGAGACACACGGTGGCGTGCGGCTGCGAAGTGGATGTCGCGACGTGCGCTGGTTTGGGCGTCGCCATGAAGGATAAGCTGGGAATGTTGTCGTCGACAACGATGGAGTACTTGATTTTGGCGATCGCCGCTGCGTCCTGTGCGTAAATGCAGAATCCTCGCCCGCTGCCATGACATCGCACGACAAATGGATGGCCAGCAAACGTGTCGTGGGTTGCCGCCTGGTTCTCCAGAACGCCGTGCGGCACCAAGTGGCCCAAGCAGTTGATCGCAAACAACTCGTACGTGTCGCGCGAGTGGTTGGCCGAAAACGCCATGGTGAGCAGTGCGGTTGGGCGAGCCAGCGCCGCCACGGGAAACGTGAAGGTTGGCGACAGCATGGACGCTTCGTGAAACGGAAAGCAGATGATGCTGATGCCAGCGGGGAGACACAGCACGCCTTTCATGGTGCCAGACACGTGCCTGGACAGTTCGCGACCTGGATGTACAAGAAAATCCATGATATTACGGCCCCCGAGTTTCGTGAGGTAGATTTGGAGGTCGTCATTGGGCAGCTGGTTGTTAAAAGTCGCATGGATGGGAGGCGATGGATCGTGAATGAGAGCTGCCGATTTGGCCTCGACCACGTGTGGAAACGACCGCGCGGACTCTGACATGCGTCGGCTTGGCTTTTTCGACGCTGGGTGGGTTGACGGCTAACGCAGAGATGACGAGGTGTCGCGACTTTGAATGCGTACTATATTCCGGGAAAGCGACAACGGCGACGGGTTGTGCTCATTGCTGTACAAGGCAACTGGATTTTCGTGGCGAGAGGGATGGTGGGGGGATTTCGTGTGATGCATGATGACAGGTTTTGGATTTTTCAACACATGAGGGCACGTTCGCGAGTCTTCGCTTCGCGAGTCGTCCAAGTCAGAGCTGGGAATCGATCGTGCAGGAGTCCAGTTGGCCGTGTCCAACTGCTTGGGCTTGAACCGAAACTCCGGGAAGCTGTTGCCCATGACAAGGGCATACCGCTCCTCATTTGTCGCCATGGCGACGACGGCCTTTGAATTCACTTCGCGCCACCTAAATTTGGCTCACTTGTCAGAAATAATATCCATGGGTGTATCCTTCGACCGTTCTTTATACGTTGGTACTAGTAGTAGAAGTCCTTTTAGTAATTACTAAGAGTCCAAATAACCATATTCCACAGTTTTGTCAAATGTAATCTCGTGTCGACTGGAAATTCGGGGTGGATATACTTGTCATGTCTGGAATGCACAATCCCTCGCCGCACGGGGCGTCGCTGGAGGTGGTGGTCGACACGTCGTCA